GCCCCCAGCATCTTGAGGACCTCGAGAGGCGGTTTAACTGTCGCGTCCCAAGCAGCCGAGGCCCAAGATGAATGGCGTGCCGAGCTCAGCCACCCGTCACTGCGGTTCCAAACCTGCCATACAAAGGGGAAACCAAAATTCCAATATATTTCCATATTCTACCAAGGTTCAACCTGATATAAAGTGATATAGCCCACAGGTTTTACAAAGAAAAGCCAAAGGCTATTTCGAGATGGGTTCCGTTTCGGATGCCTGACACTATCCGAAAACCCGGGGAAGCGCCCGCAACCTTGCACATTTGTGTTAACCAACGTTTGCCATCCCCCACTTGCCAGGGCGTTTGGGAGCCTCTCACCAATGCAAGGGCCATGGTCCATTGTGGTGTGCCAAGGCTCCAAAAAGGTGTGCCTCTACAATTGCCTGGCCTCAAGGGAGGAAGCCCCAAAGCCCCACAGGTCAGCCATAGTGAGGCACGGATGATGCTGGAGCTCGAGGAAGCACGGGCCCACGCGGAGAAGGCAGGAGATGAGATGGAACGATGTTGTTCAAGAGCAGTCCTCAGTGCAACATTCTCGTTGGGGTGATGCCTTTCAGGGAACGGGTAGGTATACATCCAGTTTGTAGCCCTGCATTTGTTGCCGTGTGAAGGCGGGTCTTCATGGAGATAGAAAATTTGACGAATATTGACCTGGTAGCAATCCAGTTCCGGGTGGAAGCAAAACCTGGCAAGCGGCATGTTTCCCAGGTTGCTCTCTGGGGCACAAGTGTGGCATTGCAAAGGAGACATTCTTTTCAGGACGCGCAGGTTCGCCAGACCCCTCCTTGCCAGAGAAGCACTTCATTCATCAAGCCTATATCATAGGAACAGTAAGGAGATCGGATAAGAAATCCCTCACTTGCGAGTGATTGCACCTTAGTTCATGTCTACATTCATGGCCTCCCCGGCCACTTTTCGGACCCCAACAACGAAGCAAGTCCCCTCGACAGGTTGCGGAAGTGGCGCAGAAGGGCCAGAAGGGCAGCAGGCCCAGGGTTCGGCGTTGTCTTCAAGCTAGGCGCTTTGGGGCAGACTAGATTCGCACAGCTCCCTAACATCTCCCTAACATCCTTTGGGGAACATGCTAATATAACCTTGGCCCAAATCAATAAAAAACATGTTTTCTGATTCTGGTCCTGAGCTCATGGACTCTAAGCTTCTTGGGAAGATGATGTTTGTGGCAAATAGCAAGTTTAATCGCTTTTTGCTCTGCCGCGCAGGAAGTAAGGATCCGGACCAGAATTGGAAGCCATATTTTTGTGTACAGATTTGGGCCAAGGTTATATGGGCGTGTTCCCCCGAGCACTTTGGGTAGCTTGGGCCAAAGTGACTTGTGCGCTTATCAGGAGGCGACAGAAGCTGTCTCAACATGGCCAAGATGCAGTGGACTCAGCGGGCAGTGCGCAATCTTTCCCATATTCCCAGTAATGAATCGATTTCTGCAGACGGAAAAGGATGCACTTGCAAGTAGGAGCACCAGTGCATGTGGAAAACTTAGATCAGCCAGAACAATATTTCCCACAGTGCCTGTTAGTGGATAGAAGGGTCCAACTGGCAGGCTCAGTCCACTTGCCTTTGCGTTCTTGTGCGAAAGAAAGCAGTCTTAGATGAGCAACGAGAGATGATCCAAATGAGCACTTGCTTGAGAGCTACTCTAATTTATGGTTGGGTACAAGTAGACAGCACCTCTCCATTTTAGATTTTGCCATTCTCAAATTAAATGTCAATTGGAGGACTGGGTGTTGCTTTTGAGGTGGGCGCTTTGTGGTTTCTGCTGGGCCCAGTTTTGGGGTTCTCATGCTAGCGGTCATGGATTTCAAGCGAGCTTTGAAGCTCATAAGGTCGCCTTTGTGACATGCACTGCAAGCAGAGCAAACGAAGCAATGGGCCTTAACACAAGAAAAGCTGCGACAAACAAGTTGGTTCACAGAAGTGTTCACATCGCATCGTCTTTGGTTCGTTCTGTTTTTTAATGGGCGTTTTAGCTCACAAATGGGTTTTCCTGGACCCCTCTAGGTGCCTGGTGTCCTCTTGGTTTCCCTTTAAGGCCATCCAAATGTCTCGATCCGCCGGATGCATTTCTCAACTCTGAGGTGCTGAAGGCCTTCAATGCGCGCCCGGTGCCCACGGAAATGACAGGTGCGTAAAACGTCCCGAACTTCGGATCTTCAAACCTGTCTTGTCTTTGGTGCATTTTGCCAAGGGATGTCAGGACTGAAGAACTTTTTTCCAACTCATGTTTTTTTCTCCATTAAACCACTAAAAGTTAAAAACTTTTAGCAGGGGAGCAGAAAGCAAACGAGCTGTGGGAAGTTGGTTTTGGCGTTGCAAAATGCTGGAAGCACGTTTTTTTTTTTTTGTGGCCAATCCACTCAGAAAGTTGATTTTAGTGGGAATTGTTTTTTGTTGTGCCAAGACACATTCAGGAAGTGAGTTCAACATGGCACATCTAGGATCTGCAAGGTTCAGAAATAGCGGGCAAAACTGCGCCCTCATGGTTCGACATGGTTTTGGCTAGACTCGTTTGATGCCAGGTTTATGTTTGTGACTGCAGTGACAAACGCCGCACTGGTCTAAACCCATGATATTGATGCAAAAGTGATCTTGCATGGTTGATGATGTCCACCAACATACCTATGTGGTTCTTTTGAAAGCAGATCTTGTCCTGCTCCGCCTGCAGAGGAGGGTGATGGCACAGCTTACTTCAATTTCCCATCCGTTCTGTAACCGTATCGTGTTGCGCAGGAGTCAGTCAAGCAGAATAAGGTGCGACTGGCGTCAAATTGCGTTGGACCCTTGAGCTTGAATTGTGTCCATTCTCAATTGCCGCAACTTCAGACGTGTTGATGGTTTGAGACCATTTCCCCACTTACCAGCTAGAACATAAAGTTTGCCACAAACTGCCCACAACATTCGCCACGCGGATGTGCCTTCTGGAAAGGCAAAGGTAACCAACGAGCACCAATGGATCATGTGTGTAGCACCAGAACCCATTCGGGTGTGTCTTCTCTGTGAGGGTGCCCCATTTTGGGGGTTTCAAAGGAAAACTGAACGGAAATGTGAAAATCACCTTTTTGGCGGTTCCCCTAAAAGAAGACACCCTTTGAGGGTCACCAATTTTCAAGGTGGCTTCAGTCGAAGCTTTTTGGGTCAGACGTTGCCAGCCGGTTGGGGCTCGCGGACCGAGGTTCGGAGGCCCCGACGTTTCCCAAGCCTTGAGCGAAGGCTTGAGGCTTTTTGTTTCACTTGGAGTCTGAGAGCGGGTGTTGACTAGAGGCTCTGGACCAAATGAAGAAGAAATCCATCCCCCTTTGGCTCGCTTGAGTGAAATGGGGAATCCCCCCAAGTTGAGGAGTTTCAACCTGGGCCATGCAATTCATCAGCCAGGGCACCTTGCCACATCCCCGCTCAAGCTTGCCATGATGAACCCTCCTGGTGAATGTAAGTGGCCAAATCACTTCACATATCATCCAATGAACATCACTAGATCTGTCAAGTGCCCCACAACCCGTTCAAATTTTGCAGGCCCTTCCTGAACTCCCTGAAGCAAGGCTTAAAAGCCTGAGCCGAAGGATGCTGCCCCAAATCCAATGGAAGGATGCTGCTGGATGGGGCGGGGAGTAGTGTTTTTGAGTTGGGTACCATGGTGCGAAGCCCACAACTGTCTAATTTCCGTTGGGGGGAAGCCAAAGTGGTAGGCATTTTCTTCAATTGTCCAGTCCCTCTAGCTGTTTAGCAGCGCATTTCAAGGCAGTTTTGCAGACAACCTGGTGAATGTTGCCATGCGCTACTTGGTGCCGCGACGATGCTTTGTGACTTGGGAGCTGGCTGCGCCTTGGCAACTTGTGTGTTCAGCACCGTTTTGCTTCAACAGCTAGAGGCTGACCGAATTGGCTGGTTGGACTTGATTACTTGCCAAGCTCAGGCTGTCAATGGAGTTTGACGATTAGGACGACAACATGGCTGTGTTTTGTTTGGATTAAAAGAAGAACCGAAAGGGAAACCACCCACCCGCCGGGAAAAAACACACTCATGCAACATGCAGGATGTGCCCCAAACCAAAAGAACAACACTGGGTCCCTATGGGACAGACCTAGATTCCGCGCGATCTGCGCTGTTCATAGACGCCTCAGAGGAGAATTGGAAGAGAAAGCCCGCTGCTGCTGACTCATCATCAAGCACGTGGAAATGAAGTTTGAGTTGCTTCAAAATCCGCTTTCAGATGTACACATCCAAACCAACATGTTTTGGGTTGGGACATCTCTGAGTTACAGAGTGGTTTCAGGGGAGCATTTGGAAATCCATGAACAGGAGCTGGGAGCAGGAGCCGCAGTGGAGTTTTGGAGTTTTGCGGTAGTACCGTGGGTATCTGTTGGTTTCTGGCAATTTCTGGGGTCTCGGACATTGGCAAGGTCGGGGTGTACCTGAGCCAGTCGGAAGACATTGAGTTGGTTTCCAGGGCTTTAGTGTTTGTTCAAGTTCCCTTTTGTTGATTTGAAGCACAGTGACATGACGTGTCTTTTTCAAGATCCACGTGACACTCATGTATATATTCTTGAGTTCAGGGACCTGAACAGCCAAGAAAGTGGCCTTGGCCCCTGAAAGCCGTTTCGGGGGCCAAGACCCAAGTTCTATGTTAGGAGGTCCCGATCCCTTTGAGTTGGTCGAACACACTTCGGACTTTCTTCCCAGGGCGCGGGACTCCCGCTGCCGGACCAGATGACCTGCGCGGGGTCAAAGCCGAGACGTCCGACATGCTTCGGCTCAGGGGGCTGAAACTTTCAGGTCCGTTTCTGTTCATGCACATCACGTGCGAAGCATGAAAGAATTACGTCATTCAATCCCTCTCAGATGTAAAACAACAATTATCTAAATCTGCCCCAATCATACGGATCAGTGCTCCACAGCGCCTGACCGCACCGCTCTTTTTCCGGCATCGCTGTCGTGGGGCGTGTCCCTCGTTTTTTCTCCTCGCCTCGACTTCGGCGCACGAAATCCTTGGGCCATGGCATCCATGGTTTCCAGCCTGCCGGATGTCTTGGATGCCTTCTGCCTCCGCACCACTGAGGTTTGGGGCTTGAGGTGAGAGGGGGCGATAGGGTCTGGGCCTACATCAAAGGTGACGCGTCTCCTTTCAAGAAAAGCTTCAGGAAGTGAAGTTCGGAAGGTTTGAGCCTAAGCCAATCTAAGCAAAGGGATGGTGTCATCAAGGGACTGCAGGCGCGTTGGAGAGGGAGCAGGGTTCGGGATGGAAGGCTTTTTTTGTTATGTGTTTTGTTCGAGGGGATGTGCCTTAAATGGGACGTAGGCAACAGCACCCTAGGTCCACAACAAAGGCAAGGGGCAAGGCTTGGACAAGTCAACTCTAAGCTTGGATAAGCCAAAGTTTCAGCTAGGAGCACTTCCTGGCTTTTGCCCACCGGTACAGCGGATTCTGGAGGTTGTTTGAAGTTTGAAGCCCCAAAATAATGAGCTCGCCGATTGCGAGAACCCTACTTTTGTCCTGGCAAACTCGCATTGGGGCTAACAAACACAGAAAAACAAAACAAAAACATTGGCCATCTTGACCCTGAATGTTGCGAGTTTTCAAAACCCTCATGACAGCAATATTGGACAGAAGGTTTCTGTTGGCTAATTTGACTAAGCTTGGATAAGCCTGGGACAAGCCCAGTCTAAGCTTGGACAAGCAAATCTAAGTTCCTGCACGTAAAAGTTCCTGTGAGAACCCTTGCTGGGTTTTGTTTGTAAGGAAGCTACAAGGTGACCACCAGTGACGTAACAGACCCGTTTCGTGTTTGGGAGATGCGGCTCGAAAAAGCGGCTCCTTACCGGTATTGAGAGACTCCAGCGGTGCCCTGGCCCCCTCCGTCCCCATGGCCATTGCGGGGTGGGGGGGGGGGGCTGAGTCTACAAGGCTGTCAGGGGGAGGCAGCTTCAAAGCGTTGGCTGGGAAGCACTTGCAGAGCTCCCCCAAAATCAAAATCGGCACTGGGCATATAGGGAACAACCGAGCTTGCGAGCCTTGAGGATGATGACTTCAGCCCCAAACTCGCGGCCATGCTATCAGGCAACCAAGGGCCGGGGGTGGGAAGTGGGAAGGGTGTGTGTTGCATGGAAGTGTTTTTTTTTTGGGGGGGGGTGGGCATTTGTCAACTTATGAGGGGAACTGCGTAACCATGCAGGTGAAACCGCTTTAGGATTTGTAACCACTGCAAGTTCGCGCCGGTCAAGTGGGCCCAAAGTATCATAAAGAGAGCCCCTAGATCATGGAAGCGTAGCTCAAAACGAGCCAAAAGACAGACCCTGATCACGTTCGAAGGTAGCTTCCCATGCCGAAGCAGTCCTTCTCCAGTTAGGACCTTTCACCAGCCAAAGGATTCCTGGGGGAATGATAATCTGGTGCAAAGGTGCTGTGAGCTGTTCCAGCTGCTTGGCACAAGCCGAGGCCATCTTGGCCAGTCGCTGTTTTTCCCCGTAAAACCAATCTGACCTCAGGCTAGCGTGGAAGCTCCCAGAAGGCTTTTGTAAATGGAACCAAGTCTTCCAAAGGGTCCTCAAAGCTTCCATGGAATCGTCTGGGGGAGAGCAACTGCCAAAAGCGAGCAGCCCGTTGTGTGGGGGAAGGGATTGGCCTTGCCAGGACAGTGCATGGAATGGGATGAGCTGCCACCGGAGAGCGACGAAGGAGGGCCCAGATGAGTCAGGGACCCACCCGTTTACGGCTGGTTTTGTCATGTTGGGTTTTATGCCTTTTGGGCAAAACACTTGGGGGCTCCCAGCCACCGATCGATAACTCTTTAGCCTTTTAGTGTTTCTCGTGGGTAGTTTCCCCATTTGACCCACTCAAAGTTAGTCACTTTTAGCGGGGGATCTGAGGGCAGCCCAGAATATACAGCTGAGTCTTTTTTGTCCAATCGACGGAAGTGAGAGGGCGGGTGTTTCATTCGAAGCCTCCATGCAGCCCTTTGTCCTCTTCTTTCAGGCGAGGGAGGGGGTTGTTCCAAATTAAGATACAGGGCAGGCCTGGACATCCAACGGAGGCGGTTGTTCGAGTTTCCCGTTGAATGAAAGGAACTGGTCACAGCGTTGTGATTGTAGGTTGATCAAGAAGCAGCTCCGCGGATGGTAGCCCATATTTTGCTGAAAGTGGGGATTGCCAGCACTTCCAGAGCTACACAAGATGTGAGAGCTTCAATCCCTGATTTGGGCATGCGTCAAACAGACGCCTCGTAGAGGTAGGTCTCATGATGTATTTGATAAAAGAGGGAACCACAAGTGGTTCCTTGTTTCGTGTACTGGGACCTGATTCGCGCATTTCACAAGGACAAGAGGGACGCGCCAACTTCCCATAGCCAGGGAACCACCAAAGTGCTCCAGGATTGGCTCTTCAGGGCATAATATGTATGGGAAGAAAGGCTCTAGCAGTGAGGGGGCTTAGCATCCAGTAGCAGTCTTTCAGCAGCTGTCGGGTGAGAGTCTCTTGAGCATCCGGACAATCAAGAGGGGCGTGTGTTTTGAGCCTTCTTACACAACACTGGGGTACAGTCCAGATGAGTTTCCTCACTACTGTGCACGGACAAAATCGGCAGTTGGGTGGATGCAACCCTATGACTGGGACCAACCTCCTACCAACAAGTGAAGGGATTTTGCCCATCCACAGTAGTAAAGAAGAAAGACTTCCAACCATGCCCAAAACGGAAGGGGGGAAATACATACATACATATATATATATGTAAAAAAAAAAAAAAAAAACGCCAAAGATCCCGGTGTGCGCTTGCCGCTGTGGCCGGGGCCGAGGGGGCCCAGCCAGCCTCAGGTTTCTCCGATCCCGAATCCGAACGGAACTTCGGCCGATTCGCGAGGATGCGTGGAGTACAAATGGCGGCTGGGCCCGGAGCATGGCCCCAGGCAGGGAGGCTACACGGCTACGGGCAGAAGTCCCTGAGGTCCCCCGGCCTTTTACTGTTTCCTTTTTTGGGGGAGGGTACTAAAATAGACTACAGGAAAAAGTTGGTACCCTTATTCCAACCTCTTTACTAGAGGACCTAGCTGTGCAAAGTGTCCCCCAACAAAAAAAACTCATAACATGCATATGTGTAAATCCATGTTGGTAGAAGCAAACATCAATGGATTCTTGCACACTGCTCATGAGCAATGGTCACTAGTCAGAGAGAATTATTGTTGTTGCGAAGGCATTGACATGCGGCAAACTGCTGGGCAGCGTGGTTGTCACAAATATACCATGGTGTCCCGCCCGTTGTGCTGCTAATGTGCACTGAGAGACGAAATCGGCTTTTCTTCGCCCATTGGCATTTCCATGTGCGATTGCATGTCCGTCAGCTTCTTTGTTGCCTGTTCTCAAAAGCGGGTGTGGGTGGAAACAACCCGACAAGGGAGCCATTTCTTAGAACGTGCATCGTCGGTTTCATTGAAACCCACTGGTGCCGGAGAGTGGGGAAACCCCGCGAGGCGTGTGGAACGCCTTGCGCCTGTGGCTTAGCGGGAGGTTTCCACACCTGGGACTAGGCCCTGGGAGAATGGTTCACTATACGAGGTTATCTGGAGACAACTCCAAGGGGTTCATTCCCCATTCGTTTCAACCATCGTTCTTTTCAAAAACCAGCTGTTTCCCCTGGGGTTCTGATGGTTGTCTGGAAAGAAGGATCCCTGGAAAGAATGGGGAAGTGTCCCCTGGAACAACCCCAAGCGGGGGTGTATCATTTTCCGGTGGCTGTAATCCCAGGGTGCAGAGAAGCACCCTCAGAATTGGGGTGGGTGTGCCAAGACAAGTGGACGCCCCAAAAAAACCCACCCACCTTAACCCACCCAACCAACCAACCAACCAACCAACCAACCAACCAACCAACCAACCAACCAGCCACCCTTGAAAAGTGTTTGGAAGACTTAATTGGAGGCGACCCTTTATTCTGCTACAATCTTTGCCTTTCACTCCAACAGAGGCAGAGCGATACCGCAAGGGTCCCAAAGGGGCAGACCGGCGTGCTTTGCAGCTTCAGTTGGTAAAGGGTGGATATCAATCATAGTCGATTCTTGTTTGTAAGTATGGTCTGCAGTGGGCTATGTTTGTGTTTGTTAGCTCCCAGTCAAAACATGCAAACAAGGTTCAAGCCTCTCGAACATTGGCAGAAGGCAGAGGCTTTGTCAAGAGGATTTCAAAGTCGGCTCAGCCCCTTCTCGATGGTGGTTCACCATCTAGGAATCTGGAGTTGGGAGGGTACAGGGAGACCAGATATTTTTTGGACTCCGCTTGACGCGTTCAGAGTCTCTGTGGCTTTCCGAGGACTCAGATGAAGTTCCGCTTGGCAGAGGGCCGCGGCCTCGATGTCTAGCCACACTGTGAGGCTTCCTAGACAACATCCTACACCAGTTGTTGGTAGGTGGCTTATCCCGTGACATATTGACATATACAAATATATGTTATAAATATATATTATGTTTTATCCATATATGTATATATATATATATAATGTGTGTATGATTATATAGGGTTTCATCCATCCCCACTGGTAGGACTTTGTCGGTCCACAGTAGGTCACCCACACACTTTTGGTTAACCATTGGTTAGCTTCGAATGGTTGTTATCTCCTGGTTTGCTTCGATCATGGGAGTTGCAAGCACTGAGCAGTGGGACATGTTCTTATTTGAGAAAAGGCAGGCCGCGGACAACAAGTGAGCCACAATCAAAACCTGGGTAGATGAAGGTTAGTAAGGGACAATCCCAGCCATAAATAGTTGCGGATATCCGCCTTTCTAATTCTTTGCATGGTTCTGGGTTCACCATTTTTGTACCAGGCTTTGATTGTGACTCAAGTGGCTGTTTCTCAGAAATGGAACCCTCAAACACCATCCACCCCACTATGTTAGGGACCAATGTAGCTTGCGCTCTGCTGGGACCTGAGAATGCCAATGGCGAGTGGACCTTGAAGCGTTCCGGCTTCTCCTTTTGTGGCTTTTTTTTCACTGGGGCGAAGTGAGCAATCTCAGTCCCTGCAAGTGAAGACCGCAACCGGCATGTTGCTTCATGCGTCAGGCAAAACAGGGGCATGCAGCCAGGAATGGAATCCTTGACGTCGCATGGGCTTTCACCCCACAATCTGCTGCGAAGTTGCCACTGGCAGATTGTTGGTTTCTTTCATGATGGTTGACCCCTGGTGGCATACCACAAAGGATGGAGTCACTAGGTGGAAGAATCATGAAAGGTCTTTGGAACTGGCATGTCAGCAACAGTAGCCATTTTTTGCATTTCCCCCCCCCTCTCCCCGAGAAGAAAAAGTCAAACAGAGCCAAACGCTCGCCTTTTGTTTTTTACCCAAAAGCGGAACCCTGTTTGCTTGGCTTCGATGGTTGAACGCCTTGAAAAAGACGCATTACCCGTGCCTTGGTTGTGTGATGTTTGAGCTGGAGCGCGCACTGAATGGATTGCTGTTAGCCGCGTGGCGCCAGAACTGATCATGCAATCAAGGTTGTTCCAGAAAGGAACTGGATGGAAGCGGTATTCCAAGCAAACTCAAAGGACACTCTTCCTTTCTAGGTCTCTCTTGAATAATTGAAGTGCTTGTTGATTCTTTTGAGCGCGTGCAACAAGCTCTAACCTGCTTCACTCTTGCCTGAGATACTGGGACTGCCTGTGGAAGCATGCACATGAGTGGGTGCCACGCATTCGCATTCGCTATTGGGTTGGCTACCTTGCCAAACGAACCCCAACAGAACTGCCACATGGTGCGACTGCAGAATGCTATGAGTCCACCGCCTCCGTTGGAAGCTGTTGCACGCTCGCTTGGCTGAGCACAGTCATGATGGTATATGCTGCAGTTGCGAGGCGCCCGAAATCTTCTTCGGCCATGTTAGCAGATGTTCCACTACCTGGGGTCATGGGGCTTTGAGTGAAGCAATTATAAATTATAAACCTTGAGAACCATCATGGTGGAACCCCACGTCAACGGGTGTTAGGGGCCGCTGTTGTGTTGAAACTTCTACCAGTAGAGCCCCCCTATGAAATCGTGGAAATGGGTTTCTCAACTCACCTGCAACGGAAAACATTTGGCAAAGAAGCATGCCATTCAACCCGGCCTACTTGAATAAATGGGTGTTTCTCAAGAATAGGGTCCCTTGGTTGCATAGTCTCAAGTGGAAACCAAAAATGTCAACAACCTGAAGGGCCTCCTGATTTTGCGTAACATCCATATACGATTCTTAGTGACTTAGTGCATGCTTGGGGCAATGCTCCAGCCAGACTTTGCCACATGAAGCCTGCGTCAGATTGCATGTTACAGCTTGACTCGAAAGCTCCAGGCTTGACATTTGATCCTCAAGAAAGTGTAACATGCCCTCCCAAAATCGGAGTGAAGCCTCGTAGGGGACGAAGAACCTTGTTTTAGGGTATGAAGTTCCTTTGATTCCCCACGTTGCAAACCTTGACCTTGAAACAAACACAGCGAAAGTAGATGGCACATGTCCTGAACAGCAAGTAAAGCAACCCCCACACATGTCCCAAATTCGCTTGGGGGTTTTCGAACACGTTGTGGTTTTGGTTAATGGTACCCTTGGCTTGAAAGGAGTCCAACAGGGACTCCGGAGTGCCCTGTTGGGGCTTTTTCGATTTAGATGACCAACCCAACCTCAAGTGGCACCTGCAGGCAACGGCCTGGCCTACTATCTCCTGGGAGTCCGGGACTCCGGGGTGGCCGAGGCGCCGAAGCTTCAGCTAGGTCCCCCAGCAATTGGTGCCCGACCTCTCACCGCCTTTGGTTGGGAGGGTTCGGGGCCCTACTCAAATCGACAAAACTGAAAAGGAATGGTAGCCTTATTTCTAAGCTCTCTACTGGAGGACCTGGTGAATGAAGGTTGGTCCAAGGTTGGTAAGGGATAATCCCTGCAATAAAACGGGTGCCTTGTTCATTCTTTACATTCTGGGTAGACCGTTTTAATACCAATCGATTTTGATTGTGAATCACATGGGGCAGTGTTCGTTGCGGATACCTGTTTTGGCATCGTTTAAAGGAAAACTCTCAGGACAACCATTATTCTGGGGTTCCCTGTATTGTGACACCCTGTACTTCTCGTTCTGGATCAGTTCGGACCCTATGATTCTCCATGGTGCCCTAAGCTGCCACATTAGAAGACCAACCAGAAAATCCAACTACCTACCCATTGTGATAATAATTGCAAAATAATAGATTTGTAGAGCCGTTTCCGTCTATATATTAGGTACCCAGGGTGGGCCATTTTTGATGACCCAGACGCAAACATCCTGGTTGCCTAGGGTCTTGCCTGGATCTATCGGGCTGGGCGTCTTTTGTCTTCCATGTCTTTCGCTATTTCGGGGCGCAACCCGGAGCTTTCTCCGGGTTCGTTTGTGGGCCCCTGGATGCTTGACGGCCATTTCAAGGTGTCGAATTTTCTTGAAGCCTTCAGACACGGAGCTGTGGTTTGGTGTCCGCGGACCTTTTTGGTCGATGACGTGCGTGAACAAGTCGGGTGTTTCTCAAAATCGGTTCTTTAGATGTTTGCTTTCCTCGTTTTCCTCGTTTCGCTTTCAATACCCAACCAAACAGAGGTCCGCCATTTTGAGAAGCCCTCAGTTGAGGATTCGGATTGATTGTCTGCTACGCTACAACCGCGTCAGAAGGGATTAGCGTTTGCGTTCAGGATGAGATCCACGGCGTGCGCGACCAATTTCGAACACCGGGCCTTTGAGTAGCTATGAAATTTAAACGGGGTGTGAATTGACTGTCCCAGGCCGGCACTTGCCGCACGGGTTTGCACTTGCTAATTCGATCCGCGGCAGACAGTCTTGTTGCAAGACGATTGTTTGACTGGATGGAACATGGGTATGGGTCAAGATTAGGGGACCGCAGGTTTTAGTCCATGTTTCCATTTGCCAGGGTTTCATTTGGGGTACCTATTTTTGACCCACAACCATATGGTGAAAGCAGATTCATTGAGGTTCCAGTCAATCACCATCAAGACTTTGGGTTACTTGAGACCCTGAACCCTCGCAACATGGTGCAAGTTTTGATCACGGCTAGAAGCTGCTGGGTGAGTTGGCTTGTTGAATTGGGTTGTCGGTCGGTGGTTGGTTGGTTGGTGGGTTGGTTGGTTGGTCGGTTGATTGGTTGGCTGGTTGGCATCAGCTTGCATAATTTAGAAATACTCAATCACACGGTCTCTAGGTCCCCCAGTAGTGCCCTTTTACCCTTTCTTGGGGGGAGGGTTCCCATACCAAAAGAGACTACCGAAAAAAAGGGTGTCCTTATTCTAACCTCTCTACTGGAGGACCAAGGTCTGTTTAACGTTTAACCACACATAGTAACTACTGTATCCATTGTATGGGCGCTGCTCGGTGTTGCTGTTTGCTGTTATGGCCCCAAGTCCAAACCTTGAATGCAATTTGGTTCCATCTCCTGTGTTGATGTGTGTTTGTGTGTGTGTTCCTTTTAGGCAGACAGCCATGCATACAGACACACGCATGCATACTCCCAAACCCTTCTCCTTGCAGGGCTTGTCGGCCCGCGAGCACTCGGACTCCGTGAGTGTGCTTATGGCAGCTGGGGTCTCGAGAGAGGGGCCAGGCGAGCAGCTGACTGCGGCAAAACGGGTCGTCCTTTTTGGTGGGTACCCTTTATGGTTGGTTCAAAGGGATACCCTCTCACCAGTTTAACATGGAACCTGGCGTTTCCGGGGGTCCTGGAAGATCAGGTTTCTTTTAAAGGACCGCCAAACGGCAGGTTCCCAGCTTAATTGGTGGGATGGTACCTCCAAAAGAAGCACCAAATTGGGCGGCCCCGTTGTTTTGAGACACAGACAATTTTTGTGGATGGATGGGGACCCGGACGGCTTTCATTTGGGATTCCTGTTCTAAGGAGCCAACATGCGGTATCCTAAATACTTACACCCCTGCTGTGGTTGGACAAAATCGTACAGTATCCAAAAGGTTTCATGCATGTTTGAACTGGTGCAGGGTTTCGTCCACGGTATGGGAAGTCGCAGTCCATTTGAAGAATAATTTTGCCCCCCCCCCTCCTCCAAACCGCAAGTTTCAGACAGGTGTACCGCAAAAACTGGTCCTCCCCCCTTGAAATCGAGAATCAATAGGGATTGCAAATTGATTGTTAAAGTTTGTAGAATTCTAGAGGTAAGTTCCCCATTCTTTCCAGGGATCCTTCTTTCTAGAAGAATGATGGCTGAAAAGAATGGGGAATCAACCCCTAGAAGAATCGTGATGGTTAGAGACGGTCACATGAGGTACCCCACACCAGTACCCACCCGCCCAAAAACAGATGGCCCATTTGCCCTCCCGCAAAAACATGCAGCCAACATACCAAATAAGATTAAAATTCGATTCGAACAACTCTACATCAATTCAATTGCAACTCAAATCAAATCTAGGAACGAAGCTTCAGGAATACTAATTCAAAAGGAAAATCAAATCCCACACCACACATACTAAATCAAATCAATGGCAGCTCAAATCGAATATCAAACTCAAGCTCCAGCAATTCTAAAAAATAATGGAACATCAACACCCACAAATGCTAAATGACACGGAAATTCAATTCCTACAAGTGCTAAATCAAATCAGTGTCAACTCAACTCTAATCTTAAAAGGAAGCTCCAGCCTAAAAATCAAATAGACGTTAAACTCCAACAACTATGGACTAAGCCAAGAACAAATACAAAGTCAAATCACTAAATCAAATGAACAAATTAGGTCAATTGCAATTTAAAAAGGAATCTCCAGCAATACTAGATCAAATGGGGAAGTTGTGTCCAACACATACTAAAACAAATGGAAAGTCAAACCCAACAAATAGAAGGTCAAACCACTAGTACATAAAGTCAAATCTCAAAAGGCAACGCCAGCGATGCTGAAACAACTCCAAAATCAATTCCAACAAATGCTGACTCAACCCAAATCCAATTCAAGTCTCAAGAAGCGATGCAGGAATACTAAACCACCTGGAACCATGCACTGCAGCTTTTGAGTTCTTCTGGACTTCAGAAGTCCTCATTCAAAGAAAGTATTGCCCAATACTAAAAGTAGAAGTCTTCCTGGATTATCAAGGGCAAATGTTGTTTGGTGCTCAACATCTGACCGCTTGTAACTTGTAACCTTTGGACCTGCTCAGGCAGGATTCGGCCAACTCCTCGGTCAAATTGATGTCAGGCACCACAGCTGTTCACGTTCAACCTTCTGGTTTCCCTTACATGCGACCCGTATGCAACTCAGAGCGTTTGAACAACCCGTTTGAATGCGTTGAATGCCACCAATGGCATGCAACATAGATAACCCGACTTTTTGTTCGCGCAAGCTTCTGGTTCACATACCCTCCCCCAGACCAACATTTGGAAGACTTGGTGACCCATTTACTGGTTCTTCAAAGAACTGGCATCCGAAATCCTTCCACTCGTAGGTTTTGCATCCAACCAACAGGTGGTTCCTCAGCTCCGGCTGAGACTGAGGCGGCCGGCGCAGCTGACAGCATCCTCCTCCTCGAGGCTGGGCTGGTGGGTGCCATTAAAAGGTTCTGGGAATAGATCAATCATATATATACAAACATGTATATTTATTATGTATAAAGGTGCTAGGAATATAAAGGTGCTAGGAATATATATGTATACGTATATGTGTATATATTTATATATACCTATGTGTATATATATATATACTGGGGTAGACTTATGATACATGTTTTTACATTTTACCAGTGACTCCATGTGAAGCAACCAATGAAATATACATTCTGTAACTGGGCCTAACTCTAATCATGCATATACGTATATGTATATACATATATATATATGGTATAGTATATGTGATATATCTAAGTATGATAGAATATTTAGTTTGTTGAACTACTTCGACTCAGGTTGTGGCTTACTGCAAGTTTCAACCAACTTGAGAGATGACCAAAGGAAACCAACGTGTGCAATTTCTCAGCCCATCCTGCAAATTACTCGCTGGCTCGAGGAAGTTTGGAGGTTACTTCCCACATCTCACAGTTTGATGGACAATTTCCAGCCCAGCACCAGTTGGCAGGTGGTTTGTCCAGTATTCATATGGATTCATCCATCACAAGTGCAGGATGTTGTCCATCCACAGTATTGCTGCTAGCCAACCAATGCAGGATTCGCTGGTCGACCAGGGGTTTAAATTGACCATATTTCCTCGAATCGATTCAATCGACGGTGTTACGCCTTGTCCCAGTGATGGCGCCTGATGCTGACAAGAGCCCGGCAGCGGAAGGAGGTGAAGGGAATGAGGAGGCAGCGCAGCCGCCTATGCAAGTTTCGGCAACGGAGGCGCCAGAGCCGGTTTCGCCCGTGGACCTCCCCACAGAGCAGGTGGTCTTTCTTGTGCGGCACGCAGAGAGCCGCTGGAACGCGGCTCAGGCCAACATGTCTCCTATGGGCATGATCTGGGAGAACGATCATGGCCTGTCCCAGGAGGGCCGGCATCAAGCGGAAGAGCTGCGCCGCAAGCTCGCGGAGGCCAAGGAGCACCTGCCGCGCAATGCCGAGAAGGCGAAGTGGCTGACGCGGCTCTTCAGCCCAGACGTCGTCGCTTTGGCGCATTTTGCTTGGATATCCCCACCCCCTCAAAAATGGAATTGGGGGAGGGGGGTGACCCCTGGAATTCCATATGTGGTTCCATTCTCCCTTTTATGGGGAAGACTAGATAAATGGAATTGGGGACCCCCACTCCCCTTCCCCTCAAGGTAGGGGGGATGCTTGGATGTTAGGACTTTTTTTTCTGGCCAACTAGTGGGTTTCCCGAATAAACCACCAAAAGTTCGACTTTGGCAGGGGAGCAGATTTCGCAACCGAGGTCTTCAGCTCGCCCTTCACGCGGGCCCTCCAGACGGCGTGCATCGGCCTGCCGGGCATTCTGCCAAACAGCGAGCTCGTGGTGATGCGCGAGGCGCGGGAGCACAAGCGGCTGGGAGGCTTCGACTCCACCGGCGTGGCCTGCGGCGAGGAGGTGAAGAAGCGGCTGCAGGAAGAGATGGGCTACCTGTACCTTCCCCAGAATGAGTGTCTTTTTTTTGGGCATTGGGGGGGGGGGGCTTTTTTGGGGTTCCCTTTGTTTTCCACTAACCAGGCAACACTGATATATTTTTGTTGCTGGGGTCCCAATTTCTGCCCAGGTACGAGGAGGAGGCGGACAAGGCCCTGCAGGAGCTGGAAAAGATCAACATCGATACTTCCTCGGTGGAGGAAGAGTGGTGGGGCCCTATGATGGGCGAAACCATCGAAGAGATGAACGACAACCTCCACGAGCTGATGCGACATCTGCGTGGCACCCGGGGCACGCTCGAAGGGGGCGGCGCGTATTCGGTGCTTGTGGGGCATTCCTTCATCATCCGCTCCATCTTCGACGCGTATCTCCTAAAAGGCGCCTGCAGCGAGGAGCGGTCCCTGCGCTCCAAGCTGGTGCCCTGCTGCGGCGTCATCGCCGCTAGGATCGTATGGTCTGCCGGTCGCCCGCAGGTGCGGGAGGCTGTGCCCTTGCTGGGAACCGAATTGGAGCCCCCCGACTACGAGGAGCGGCAAAAGCGCGTCAGTAGCTGTACCTGCGGGCGAGGCAAAGTGGACGTGTCTTGTGTGATTTCCTGAGGCGGAAAAGCCGCCGACTTTCGCTTGACAAAACTGGAGCCAGCGCACTGGTGGAGTCTTTGAGGGCGTGTTGAGTGGCTCTAAGGCCACACATACCCTCCTAACCCCCAAAAATAATGTCCTTACCCTTGAAACGGAATACCTAAGGCCAAGTTCGCCCCACGCTTTCTGTGCTGGCTGCTTGGTTTACTGATTTACTGAGACCGGATCAGCATCGCTGGCGCTCGATCGATCTCTCGAACAGGCCTTGGGCTGCTCCCCACAAGCGCGCAAGGCGTGGAGATCTTCACGCGCGGTTTTGGGTGAAGCTCCAAGGGTCTTTAGGTGTTGGGTGAAACATCTACTTTTTGGAAGCACACATATAGAGTTGAATTTTGGTGAAACATCTACTTTTTGGAAGCTGACATGTAAAATTCAGTCAGCTAAGGGCTGGGCTGTTAAAGCTCACGCCAGACGGTATGCGTGACCTTGTCGCTACGGATTGCGGGTTGGAATCGGGGATCCCAAGACAAACTCGAGTTGGCTACACTCTTTGGGTGGGAGGGGGGGGACCCAAGTTCCGCATGGTGTTTAAGGAAAAAGTCAAGCCCACAAGTTGAAGACTTTGGGAAGTACCCGTTTGAAGGTTCTTTTGGTTTCTCAACCAAATGCCCAGTGCTGCCCTATGTTTGCCGTTTGTTTTGGAAGCTTCACAGCAACAAAGGAGCCCTGTATGGAGATCCGCTGGGCTGAGCCAAGATGCAGCTCTGAGCGAGAGTTCCCTGCGGAGCTGGGTACGCAGCCTTTCGGGGACACCGAAAGGGGATGGAGAGATATACGTGTTTTTCTCCAGACCCTCTGGCACCCTGTCACGCAAAGAGGGGAAAAGGAAAAGACAGGGATCTCGCGCCGTGGCCGGTATCATTTCGCCTGTTTTCCAAAGATGTGACTCCCGAACCCCAACTTGAATGTCAACAGAACAGCAGGGAGAAAAACAGAACAAGTCAAGCCAAGGGTCAAACTTGGCCTCAGAGTATGTTGTATGGTTCTCCGGTTTTTACAGGGAATCTACCACTACTGGGAGACTGTTTCCCTGTGGAATGGTAGACTTCCCTTCCATCCATTTTCCACCCCATTAGAATTCCCACCTGATCTTTTTCCCTGCGGTGCGGACTTAAGCAAACGGAGGTTTTTTTCCGGTGCAAGTCCCAGCCCCAAGTTTTCTCAAGCGCCAGGGCCGGTTGTGTTCCGCGTGGCGCCTGGAGCAGAGGCAAGCTTCGGCTTGGCACGGGGAAAGCAAAGGGAGGTTCCTCAGCTAGGTGCCCTTTCTCACCAACTTTTTGGGTTGGGAGGGTTCGGGACCCTTCTATAATAGACTGCAGAAGAAAGGGTATCCTTATTCTAACCTCTCTACTGGAGGACCTAGGAGGTGCTTGAAACCATCCTTCCAGCTGGAAAGCAATGGCTCAAACCTGGTCTTTGGTGCATTTTGCCAAGGGATCTAGGACTTTAACTGTTTGCCAACTAATGGGTTTTCCGCATCAATCCACGAATAGTTAAACTCTCAGCAGGGGAACAGAAAGCAACCGAGCGGTTGTACTGGCAGTTGTTGCAGGGGTTGTTGTGTTCTTTTTGTGGGTACATGTTTTTTTGCCCAAGCCTGGTTGTAGTGGCAGTTGTCCCCTTGTTTTTGAGGCTACACTTCTTTTTGAGGCTGTTGTTTGTGAACGAGTTGCACTAGGAAAGCCAGACTTGCTTTCTTCCAAAGTGTATCCCTGTCCCAAAAATCCACGGGCAACGCCAACTGGACACCCAGCCGCTGGGTTTCCGCTGCGCCCGGCCATCGGGGCTCTTCGGGGCAAAGTGTCCAGGCTCCGGGAGCAAGGCACAGACGTGACTTGACGGAGGTGGAGTATCCGCGCGGCCGTGGAATATCAATGCCACGTGTCCAAAATGGGGCACCTCCAAAACTTCCTGGTTGCCTTCAACGGCCAGAAGGGATCTCAGCTGTTTGGGCACACTATCTCTCAAGCTCTCTCTTTCCCCGCGATGTTCAGCTCGGATCAGCTGGATTCATCCTCGACGGTTCGGCCGCGGCAAATCCGCACGAGTGGAGCACTGACTCACTCCCCCAGCTTAGCAGAAATTCATGCACCTTAGCAGGAGACACCCGAAACATGGTTGTTGTTGGGAAACATGTTACATGTTTGTTTATCGTGGTTTAGTGGGAAATCCCACTAGACGGTGGCTTTATACACCTCTTGCAAAGGCCGCCTTTTGCCGGATTGTATCCTTTTGGTGTTGGGTGTGACTTCTTGCAACCTCTTCCGAAAGGAACGTCGATGTTCGAAAAGTTTCCAGGTGCTGATGTTCGGTTGGAATTGCAACGGTGAATCCCGTCTCACTGAACAAACCACGTCTGGCCACAAAACCATTCAGGATTCGCCTGTGTGTCCCTTGAGGGACGACAATCCGGCGACTCATCCAAATCCGGTGCCTTGGCGTCCCCAACCACTAGCTGTTTGAACCACGGCATTTTGAGACGATACGAAACCCCCAAACCCAGCACTACATCTTTCCCATCCCTTGTATGCAGTTATGCAAAGTGAGCTGAAATGCTATACGGGTCTGTGGCGCAATGGCAGCGTGCCCATGCATTTCATGTGTGGGAGGTGGGTCCAAGTCCCACCGGCTCTATGCCTTCTTTCAGGGTTTTGCTTGCTCCCTTACTTGCATCACATGGGTGTGTCGATTGTTTGGGGGCACGTGGACGTCAATCCCCACAGAAATGATGCTTCTCAAAGGTCGCTTACTCAAAGGCACATTTAAAGGATGATGTCCAAGGTTCACTCACCATGGACCGTTCGAGCATGTTGTTCTTTGGTCTTTCCGCCAACCGCTGCCGTTGGTTTTTGTCGGGGCCCTTAGTTGGTGGTTTGGATTGGGGGTTTGAACTGTTGGTTGGTCCCCCAGTAGTGCCTGTTTACCCTTTTTTGGGGGAGGGTTTCCCTTCTACTAAAAAAAGGGTACCCTTAGTCCAACCTCTCTACTGGAGGACCTAGGAGGTAAATGGGAAACCCTTCCATTTCACCCCAAACAGCCAGCGCTTCGGCTCACCGAGCAACGAGGTTCACCCACCAGCCCTTCGAACCGCTTGTTCTTTGGTTGTTGTTTTTTTGCGCCCACCGCTGGTAAAAAGGGGGGCCCTTCCGGTGCGAGCCAGGCATGCGGCGGTCAGCAAGCTGTCGAAGCAAGTCCACCTCTGCGGCGCCCTAGCCGCCCGCGCCCGAGAGGCTGCGCTCGCTCGCGAGCGACGGGGCGGGGGTTTGGGGGGATGGTTTTTGGGGTGGATGGAACCGTTTAGGGGATTCTTTATGATTTGTTTCCGCGTGTTGGGAATGAACTTTGCTTTTCTTGGCTTTTTTTTTCTGAAAGGAAAGCCATGAGAGACATTGAAATCCTGTCATGTCTCATTCCCTGAGAGCCAGCGATGCTCCAAGTGATGGGTTTTCTTGGTGCGATAGAGAATGAATGACTTTCCGAGGTGTTGGGGCTTTGAAGCGGTGGATGGGGAGTCTCTTCAGAAAAGGATGGGCCATAGGCCTTCCCTGCTGAGAATCGGCAAGTGTTGCGGGGGGCACTTTTGACATCAAAGGAAGTTAGGATAAGATGGTTTGTGGGGAAGGAATTCGGCAAACCCTTATGTATTCACTATATGTGAAGCGCATAGAATGAATGTACAGGGGCTCATGCCAATGGGCGAGGTCACGTTCTCCAGGCTTCGTCTAACATGGCTGGACCTTTTTCTTTGGTTTTCTCGACCAAACATGAGCTCCCGCCCCAACAGGCTACCTGTTGTACCGCAGCATGGTGGGAGTATGGGCATTTGGTGTTGCCCAGGAAACACCCTTCAAGGTAAACTGATGTGGATTCAAAGGGCAGAGCTGCATATCCTAAGTCCGCCGCAAAGCGTGGCGCAACCGAAGGCCGTGCTTCGGAGCTCTTAGACGTTTCCCGTTCGTCTTTGCACAGTGTGTTAAAGCTGGGGTCCGGTCCTGCAAGGAGAGACATCTGTCTCTCTGTGTGTGTGTTGGTTGAGGGTACCCTTTCCAGGTTGGTTTACAGGTCTGTTTACATGGGCACCAGAAGTAAAAGCACAGTTTTGAGGGTTCCCCTATTTGGACACCTCTCTAAAACATCATAGACTTCTGGGATCTAGCACTTGCCACTGTTTCCCTGTTGGTTTCTTGGAAGTTGATACCAGCTTGATGCTATTCACCATCCAGGTGCCGGTGTCGAAACGTCTCAGTGAATCGACTGGGCTGCATTTTTGTTTGCAGCCTAAAGAATCTATGGGGAGTTTTAAAAGGGGCCTGAAACGGAAGAGACGCCCAACCCCCCCGCCCATTTTTGGCAAATCAGCTCGCGATCTCACCGAAAGAACTTGATTTGCATCCTATTTGATTAATATACCCCTGGTATTAAGCCGGCCGGCTCAGGACTCCCCAATACTGCACAATTTGTCAAACTGGAATTCACCCAAATACCCAAACAAATACCAAAGAAAAACACGGAATTAAACCGGCCTGACACAAAAGACCCCAAATTCAGAAAGCCCCACCCAAATCCAAAGTTCAAATCCCCAAGAATCCCTGGTGGTATCATTTTCTCCACACTTCTGCATCTTGCTCATTGGCAGCTTTATCGCTTGTATTCATCCGCGATAGCTCTACCCAATCTCTTGCCTTCCCCTGTCATCCAATACGCGGTGCACTTGACTGCATCACATGCAAGGCATCCACTCTCATCAAAGTTCATGGGCCCCAATTGGGCCATTCAAACATGGTGGAAAAGTCACTCAATCTCACTGGAAACCTCAACGAATCCCTCTAGAATCATCATTTCCAATTCAAAAGTAGTATTGCCCAATACTGAAATAGTACTGCCCAGTTCAAAAGTAGTATTGCTCATTTCAAAAGCAGTATTGCCCAATACTAAAGTAGTATTGCCCAATACTAAAG